TGATTATCTGTCTTGGCTTTTACTACTATTGGCAAACCAAATGAAAACATGGAAAGAGGGAAGCCATTCCACCCCGAAAAGCGTATTCAAGCCGTTTGTTAAGGGCTATTGGAATGATTCAGGGCGAATGTGCTGTGTCCTGTGCCAGCCGAAAAATCACCATTCAAAGATTGTCCATCGAATCAAGAAAACACACACGAGGAAGGTGTCCGCAGGACAGGACAGAATCAAGAAAACACACACGGGAAGGTGTGGTTATTCGATACTTTTATAGCTTTCTATGAGTCATTTCAACAAGTCTTATTGGCCACACTACCTGAAACATGATGGGTTCTGTGGCAGAGGAAACCAAATGAAAACATGGGAAGAGGGAAGCCATTCCACCTCGAAAAGCATATTCAAGCCGTTTGTTAAGGGCTATTGGAATGATTCAGGGTGAATGTGCTGTGTCCTGTGCCAGCCGAAAAATCACCATTCAAAGATTGTCCATCGAATCAAGAAAACACACACGAGGAAGGTGTCCGCAGGACAGGACAGAATCAAGAAAACACACACGGGAAGGTGTGGTTATTCGATACTTTTATAGCTTTCTATGAGTCATTTCAACAAGTCTTATTGGCCACACTACCTGAAACATGATGGGTTCTGTGGCAGAGGAGAAGTTGAGTGACTTAAAGAGGTCCGTCTCGGGGTCAAACTTCTTGGCGTGGCTTTTGATCATCACCGTCTTGGCAGTCCCTTGCTCACCGATGAGCAAGACGGCCTGTGGAGTTTTCCAAATGAATACATACAGTGTGGGTCTCGCATTGATATTGTTTTCAACAAACCACAACTCACCTTGTACTGCTTAGCAATAGTTTCCAGCAAAAAAGCGGTCCTGGTGTTATCTACGTTGGGCACAAGGATGGAAGAGTAGTCCGGTACGTGATCTGTGGGATACTCGTACTCCCCTACATGTTCGTTCCAGTGACACCACTGACCTGGAAGTGCAATGGAAAATAATGGAAGTGTCTCTTACATGCTAGCCTTAAAGATTGCTTTGCAGCTGAAAAACAAACAAAGACCAGAGCCCGGATTCAAATGGACGATGTCTGGACTGTGAGGCGGATGTGCTAACAAGTCAACCATTGTGCCGCCCATATTAGGTCAAATGTTTCGGGGGGTCAAATATTTTTGTATTTTTCTTCAAATATTTGACTTGAAGACTGCGAATAGCTGGCGACCAGTCCAGAATGCCCCTCGTGTCTTGCCCGGAGCCAGCTGGGATAGGCTCCCACAACGCCATAAGCAGTATCGAAAAAGTCGGGATGTATTTCACTTGATGGATGGACAAGCACAACGGAGAACCAACTCTTGACACTTCCAGAGTCCATTTTCCATGATCTGTTGCCTTTAAAAGCTGTTTGATTTTTTTTTTTTTTGTGAGCATACCATCTGTCCCGACCATGTATTCAAACATAGTCTCTCCCTCCATGGTGCGAGGCAAATCAATGTTGCTGCTGTGCTCCCGGAAAAAAGCCTCCATTTTGTCCCGGTCGTCCAACTCCAAAAGGGCCCCCAGACTCCACATCAGACCAAAGACGAAGAGACGCTCCAAGTGTTTGTCGCTGACCAGGCCCCCCATCTGCTTGGTTGGGATGAGGCCCTCCAGCAGATTGCAAGACTGCGGGATGAGAAACGAAATCAGAATCAGTGCGCAACGGTTGCGGTTGCTTCGGTTTGCGTACCTGCATGATGTAGTTACACTCCAAAAACGGCATCTTGGGTTTGAGGTTCTGCCTCATGTATGAATACACGTCCCAAAATATCCTGCCATACAGATTAATGATGTTCTCGGCTTCTTCAGCGTTACGCTTGTTTGTCCATCCCTAAACAGAACACAGACAAGATTTCAAATGTGCCGAACTGTCACTGCCAATCGAGTCTTGTTTAGTGTTGATCGGCCTTTCCCAAAACATTTTAGGCCATGTCACACACTGCTGGCCGGGAGGTGGCACTGCTCTCCTCAACAATGAGTCTCCAGAAGTCTGTCTCTCAATATTTTCTTTTTCTAAAGTGTATAATTAGGAAGTTTGAGCTGTTTATCCAACTAATGCATGTTCCTTACAAATGGGGAAATAAACATAATTCTAGCATTCGGGCAACTCGGCCTCAGTTGGATGACGGCCGTACCTTGAGGATGGGTTCCCAGCTCAGAGCCGAGGAGCTCATGAAGACCATACCGACACGTGACACGGTGGCCGGAGAGGCATTCTCGATGTTGTGCACCTCGAACACGAGCTTGCAAGCTGGCGACATGGTGATACGGTCACCGTTGGCCAGGGTAAGGGTTTTGTTGTCATCCAGCACGGAGTTGAGGTTTTCAATCCAGATGGCGTCCACAGGACCATCCAATACGATCCATATGATCTCTCCTGCAGGTGAAATTCATCAGTTTTGCTGCTCGTTCGCACAAACTGTCGGTGAAACTAATGCATGTAAAACTATTCAAGTATTCATGATCTTTTGGAAGTTTTTTTTTTTCTCCCAACACCTCACCTTTCTTGGCCTTTAGCGTCCTCCTCCACAGCGTGGAGAAGATACCGTCAGTCCAGTCATTGGTGGCAGCGTCGAGCCGGCCAAACATCTGCGGCGCGGTGATGGCCTTAGGGTTCATGCGCATCTCCCTGTGTGGTGTTCCACACTCTGTCAGCGCTCGCATAAGGATGTTGATGACAGCCGTCTTACCCGCCCCGCTCGGCCCCAGCGTCATCAGGCCGTGGCGCACGAGGGAAGCCTCGTAGAGCTGTTGGCGGAAGTCAGAACAGCCGATTCGTGTCCAAAGCAGTTCAGAGCTGAGCCGCAATGTTTTACGATACCTGAACCAGTTTTAGGTTCCAGTTGGGGTGGTTAACTAAGGCAGCAAGGTCAACTTGATTCTTCACTGCAGCCTGCAGTTCATTGTAGGTGCTGTTGTCCAGCTTGATGCCAGGGAACAAGTCATTGATGAGACTGAGGAAGAGAGGTTCGTCCTCATCCACCTGAAACAGTGTTGCCATTTATAGTCTGTGTCTATAAAACTATTGAAAACAAAAAAAAACTATTACACGCAGGGGTGCACGTAGGTCGGGTGCAGTTGTGTTTGGTTTCAACTACAGCGAACTGTACATAGAACTGCCTTCGTGAGTTATAATGCTTTTTTGGTTTTAGGGGCATAGACTCCACAACCTCGCCCACATCTGGCTGTACTTCTAAAAATAAAGTATTCGGTGCAGATTTACAGTTGACTATTCACAAATTCGTAGAGCCGCGTTATAGAAAAACGCAACTCTTCCCATTTTCTGTGTTCTTTCTGAAACAAACCTTTCCAGTGATTTTGACCGGCTGTTTTACCCCTTGACAAAACTATAGTGATTAAAAAAAAATAATAATAATAAAGTTTCATAAAGATCTGTACAAGAAGCCCAGGTCCTCTTTGTGAAGAGAAAAAAAAAGCATCATGTGCATCCCCGTTTTGATCTGTTGCATTCATGGATTACCAGTTTCGACAAATTCATGTCACGCAACACTCTCATGACCGTGCTGGACTCTGAGTCCTCGGGCCGCGCTCTCTTGCAGGCTCCCAGTGTCCTTAGCACGGACAGGATGTTCCTCAGGCCAAAGTCATAATGCACCTGAAACACAGCAATGCAAAGGCAGTGACGCTGGATGGGGAAAAAAAAAAAAAAGTCAACCTCATGGGTCCACAAAAACTGTTAAAACATCTGCGACATCCTCAATGTCCAGTTTTGGAGATGTTTTAAGGAGACCCCTGATCGCCTTATTCCTGTTGCTATGTCCTACCTGTTTTGTGAGTTGCTCCTCACAAAGTTTATAAAGAACAAAGAATTTTTGAGCTAGGAGGACATTCTCATTGAATCCGCAACTGGCCAGCTTGACCCTCATGATGATCTGCAAAAGACCAGAGGCAACAAGCCAGTTATGTGAGAACAAACAGAGAAAATTCTAATCTTCCGTGTACCTGTCGATCAGGCACCATCATGGAGACTGTCCTGAACTGCACTTTCAAGTTCTCAGGAAGTTCCTGACGACCGGCATAACCGGGGTTCTAGGCAGGGAACGACAACATGCTGGCGTAACACTTTGATGCTCTTAACCCAGTCGTTTAAATTTCTAAGTCTTACCATAGTGATGAAAAGCCCAAACTCTGGATTCAGGTCAACTACGTCACCGTCCGTGAAGACAAAAGTAGGTTTGTGTGTCTTGCGAGCGACCAGAACAATGTAAATTTGCTGAGCGGCCACAGACAACACCGGCAGGTCGATCCTGTTGAATTCATCAAAGCAGCCCCATGAGCCAGACTGTGCAAGGCCTGGCAAAAAAAAAAGTCACAACAAGAATTCAATCTGCCAGGAGTGATATTAAAGGGCTTCTTTCAAGCAAAATTGCCATCTTCCTCTGTCATTAAGGCCATGGTTTCTTCAAATGTTTTTTGTGGTTCAACTTCTGATAAATGGCATCAGAGCTGAATTTTCAAAGCATTCCAGGAGAAGGAATGGCTTTCCACCACATGCTGCAGCCATCATCAAGTAAAATTTAAAAAAAAACAAAAAACAATAGCATAGCACATTGCCTTCGAATACCTTTGTAAATCCTGCCAAGCCCCCTGAAGTCCATTTGGTCAGAGCAGTTGAAGACCACCACATACTTTCCTAAGCAGCGACCCATGTCTTTCGTGGTCTCTGTCTTTCCTGTGCCTGCTGGCCCAGCGGGGGCTCCCCCCATGCTCATGCCCAGGGCCTGGGACAGCGTAATGTAACACCTGTACACAGGTCATGATTACACTAAACCGTATCAACAAAATGAATGATGTAAGGCCAGGATAGCAAGTAGTGTATGTATCCAAAACGACGACACTTGTTTGTTGTCTTGCCTGTCTGTCAGTGGGGTGATGACGAGACGGTCGGTGCAGCCGAGGAACTCGTTCTGATAAATAAAGTCGACATTGGTGATGGACACGATGACCTTGTCAATGCCGTCATTGTAGTAAAACCTGCTTTGCTTCAGCCACTCAAAGTCATTGGTAGATTTGACTGATTTTGCCACCTGAAGAGAAAGCAACAACAATGTGGTACGCAAAGGCAAACAAACAAACAAACAAACAAAATATCTCAAGTCTACCAGCTCTTCAAAGATGTCACTCTGGTGCACGTGGATGGTGACCAGAGTCTCGTACTTGACCCTGTCAAATTTGGTCAAGTCGTAGGTGGTCTGCTTGATGAGCATTCGGAGGAGGTTCAAGAATTTCTTTTTGGTGAAGATCATCACCTCCTTGCTGAATTCGGCATTTTCAAGGGCCTCCTCTGAGTCCCTTGTCCAGAGCATTTGGATTCCAAGCAGGCCCACCTAAAACAGGAAATGGAAGTATGCTATTTTGATTCGAAGCGGCCATTTTAAGGGTCATTTTTCGTGAAAAGGTGTGTTGGGTAACATCCGATGCCGGTTTTACTGAATTTTGTGAGGCACATCTATCATGAGAAGACCCACAAATATTTCCTCGGATAACGGACCTGCGCTTGGAACTTGTCAAGAAAAGGTATGAGCTCAAAGTCTTCGTCGTTGATCACATCATCAGCCGCCTTGATGACGGTGTGCAACGATGACTGCTGCTCCACCAATAACTTCCCAAGCCAGAGCTCCACAGGACCCTGAGCCAAGACGGGTTTGTCCAGCTGAAACCGCATAAACACGCAACACAAAAGCCAATGAGAAAATGCATGTGAGCATTTACAGTACGTTGTCTATGGATTCAGATAACCCGTGTCCGAAGACGGGGTCCATATCAGCGATTAGCATCCGTACCGGCAGTTTCTCCGCTTCTTGAGACAAGACAGCCAAAATGCTGTCGTATTCATTGACATCAAACTCCACTTCATTGACATTGTCAAACACTCCGAGAAGATGCGACTAAAAGGGGGGAAAGCAGAACAAAAATCTGCTTTATTCATTCCTTTTGACAATATCGCCATTTGGGTTTTTCCAGTTGATATCATCCATTCTAAATGACTCAACTTATGCTGTTTGTCCAATGACATTTTTTAGGTCGACACTTGTATTATTGCAAATTAAATGTCTTCACCTGAATTGTGTGAGAATCGCTCGCTTGTCCGAGGATTTCCAGGAGCGCAGGATCAGACACGAAGAAGAACCGTGGGAACAGGAGACGTTTTTTCTCGAGGTACCTGCAGTGTTTGCGCTTGTTAAGTATCACTAGGAGACTTCTTCCAATTACAAAAAATTGTGGTAATGTACGTTTACAAAGTGGGTGCCAACAGCCACATCACTTTTAGTAATAGTAAACCTAAGGGGAATCAACCTTCTGTTATTCAGTGGAAAAACTTGTTTTTGTGATCCAGCAAAAGCTATGTCTAATATAAAAATAAAGCTTTGAAACCATTTGATGGCATCTTGGTGTTGAACCGAGGGAAGGATCTCCATATCGTCAGGCCACAGCCTTGTGTTATAGCAGAAATTGAAAATACTCTGCTGCCACCTGGTGGCATTTATAGAGAGTTACAAATATTATTCATGTGGTTGTTTTGTGGATTTTGGCAGATGAACCACCCACTAATAGTAGGGCTCTGCTCCTGTACCCTGCCAACAGTAGAGGTTCACTGTACTAATTTTTGTGTGAGTAACTAACTAGCTCAAAAAATTCACTTCACATTTACCCTGTGAGTGACTTCTGACAAAAGTCCAATTGCTTCTGAAGATCTGGCAGGATCTCCCCCAACATTGGATCCCCAACACAGCACTCCACCACATTCGGGACGTCCCGTGCCCGCTGCATGATGTTGATCCACGTTGAGTCAATTTGCTGAAAGCGCTCTGCTTCCTACAATAATGCAAAATACACCCTAATTAAGTATCCATTCATTCATGTTTTATTGTCTTTTCCCTCATTAGTGTTGTAGGTGATCGATCTATCGTCTATTCAAGATGTTATTGGACTGGAGGTGGAGCACACCCGGGACTGGTTGCCAGCCAATCACGGGGCATATATAGACATACAGCCATTCATAGTCCCATTCACACCTATGGACAATTTAGACATTTATCATTTTCAGATTAAGGGCGACAGGCGACTTTACCTGAGGCAGATCTTTGGCGATGTCGCCCCCGACAAACACGGCCTCTAAGTAAATCCAAAGGTTTTGCACGATGACCCACTGCTCAATGACATCTGTTGACGTGGACAGCTTGGATACCCAATCCTGGATCTCAGCTTTGTAGAACGTGCAGTATCTGCAAACAGGCAGAATACTCTGTGTAAAAGGCACAAGGAGATAACTGTTCTTACATTTCTGCTGTGCTGCTGCAATCTTGCAGGAGTCTTTCTGCGTGAAGCTGTGAAAAAAAAAAGTTTCTGACTAGGCCATCTCCTCACCGGTTGCTGAGCAGCGAGCCCAGCACCATCAGACTGTCCTCCAGAGTGGTGAGAATTTCTGTGGTGTCGCCGCCTCGCAGCATGAGCTCGCCCCTGTCTTTGAAGTCCATCAGCGTCAGGTTTTGGTCATGCCACACCGCCTTCACACCGGACAACTTGGCCTCGATGTCCCTCTCTTTCACGGCGGATATGCAGATGTCCTGAAAGGTGCGACGAGTACAGCGTTGCAAATTAAGATGAATCCTCGGCAGAGCGGAGGTGAGGCAATGAGAGAAGAGATCGTCAACTCCTTACCTCGATGTCGTCCTTGTACTTCAGCAGTGGCGCCTCCATGATGTTGTCCAGGGTGCAAGTGGGTGACTCAACCTCGAACTCGTGGCCGGTCAGGTTGGAGATTTGATCCCAGTGCCTGCGGATCATGGACTTGTTGGTCATCATCTCGAGCAGAGGACACAGCTCGTTGAAGTCATCGATGGTCTGCTTTAGGTCCATGAAAGCCTGCCACTCCTTCAGTGCCTTGGGAAGACGCCGGCACCTGGAAATAGACACTTGCTACAGTTACGGTGGCAATTTTACATGGCGATAACAGCACTTAGGTTTTCTACACGCTGGTGAGAAGTAACAAATACTTTGTGAATGTGCTTAAGCCAATTTTTGAGGTATGTGTCATTTGCAGTTGTTTTACGATATTTTAGTTGTATTTTTTAAGATTAACTTCTTTTGTATTGCAGTTGAAATTTGGATTCAAACATTGCTTGTATAATTAATACAAGTTTTATGATTGAGACAATACATTTGAGTTCCATTAATTGGAAAAAATGCATACATTTCTCTTGTGTGTTGAATACGTTACATGCACTAAAATGAGAACCACAAGTGGAACCTGTTCTGAAAGTCCATGAGCTCATTATTGATTTTCTCGATATCCACTTGTGTCCACAGGAGCTTGGAGTGACCGCTGATGGTCTTCATCACAGTGTCATACAGGCCGTAGAGCTTCTGAAGCAGGTCCAGTTCTTTCCTAGGGGGAGAGAAGGGAAATGCATGTTTTAACATAAGGAGATCTTTTTTTTTTTTTTTTTTTGAGGGCTTCTACTCTTGAGTCTTTGTACTTTTTATTTTGAAGGCACTCATAATCAGAGACAGGCAGGCCGAGGAGCTGTTCGCCGGAGTTGTAGGTGGTGAAATTTCGCCACAGCTCGGAAAACCTGGCCTTGAATAGGACAAATACACACACACACACACGCAGTTAAAATAAATACAAATAACTAAATTGCAATAACAGCACTACAAATTAAAATAACAACGCAAATAGAATCCAATTTTTGTGCCCAGCACAAATCTCGAAAAGCGTAGTCTAAAACTGCGCGCATGAGTGTCTTTCTTTCTTTTATTTTCAGAAATGGAGGCAGATACAAAGGGTTACAAAATGCTTGTGGGGGTGGTGGTTTATTTAGGAAAAGACAAAGCTTAAATACGATGTGATTACAGTCCTGTTTCAATAAAAAGAAAAAATTTCTAGAAATTGACGAGCACAAGTACCTGGAAGGTCTGGAGCCTGCGGCTGGCTTCTTTCGGTTCTATTCCTTCAACCATTGGCCCTTCCTGCGGTGCGTTTAGAAATTCATCAATTTCAATATGCGTGGACGTCATCGATCGATATACAGATGGATTGGCGACTGCGGCTTACCATATCGTAGTCATCCATGAAAGTGCCGACATCTTTTTCAAAGACGCCGACGCGTTCCATCAGGTCCTGCTTGAGGCTGGGCTGCATGCGGAAAAGCTGATCCTGAACGGACATCTGGAGGGGAAAAAACGTTCGGAGTACCAATAACAGTGAATTTTATAGGGCAACTATAATACCATACCATGATACCATGATTTCCAAATATCGATACTCGGAAAAAAACGCAGCGAAAGCGATCCAACTTACAGCTTTAGACAGAAGCCTGGTGAAGAAACGGCCCAGTCCGTACACCTCTCCCGGTTCCTTCTCGGTCATTTCAGCTTCGTAAAGGATCAGCACTTCATAGGCATCCTAAATAGGGAAAACCTGACCTGTTAGATCCAGCGTAAAAAAAGAAAACTGTAAACGGAAAGCAATGGTATTTGTACTTGAGTGGATATCAGCGTTATGTCTGTGTTTATTTCAGAATCCCGCAGGTTGGCCAGCGTCTTCATGGCACAGCGAACATCGTCCAGATTAGCAATGGGATGTGATAGTTGTGTGAAGCTCCTGTGAGTTTGCAGGCTGATGTTGATTATGTTCTTCCGGCACTCAATGCGCAGGTGTTTGCACAGGAGCCTCTTCCAGGCCTTCGCCTCAATCCTGAGGGACTCCTTTAAATGGTCTGATTCAGAAAAATGCAGCTAAGATATACGCGCGCAGTCGTCCTAATTATGAATGGCATTCACCACACATCAGAATGCGTGTTCTCTTACTTGTTGACAGTTCGATCATCCCGACAACGATGACGTTCTGGATTTCCTCAATTTGGCTCTCATACACGACGTAGTGCTGCAATTTATCTTTGATCTCTATCAAGGTTGGCTTGCTGTCAATGAAGGCCTTTAAAAAGCAAGCACGAGTGTCACTCAAATTCGTGACACGAAGACACCGACATACAAGGGGGTTGCACTCAATGACATCATATACGACACATGTGACGTGACGTACTTATCGGGAAAGGCACACCTGCCGATTTTGTCGATGGGGGTGGAACCATGAGGGGGTGACAGATTATTTCACACCAGTCCTTTTTCCCCACCAGATTGATGCCCCCCCCCCTACCCCCCTCCTGATGTACATTCCAATACCTTGATGACGCGCTCCTTGTCGTCGCTCCACAGCTCCTTGAATCTCTTGAAGCGATCCAGAACGGTGGCGGCATTGTCCCTCTGCAACTTCAGGGCCGACTTCAAGGCGAAAATGACGGCTTTGATATCCTCGTGCTTATTAACGCGAATGTAGAAGTTCAATTTCTCCCGACCTGCGAGAAAGTTAAACATCGTGTCAACTGAACGCAGCATTTTTTTTCAGTCCATGGCGACTCACCTTCAGTCGACGAGCTGTCATGTCTGTACTCGACCTCCCAGCACTGAATGCCCTTGCTGACTTCCAAGATAAATTCAATGATTTCATGTATGGCGTGATGAATCTGATCTACAGTGGGGAGCATCACCTGCGGATAACCACAAATCACACAATATTTGCTGTAAATGTCAGGAACATGTTGTGGTCGGGTTTCAAGGCAGGGTTGGGTTTCCAAACAAGGCCTAGGATTTCAAATGAGGCCTTCAACTGACACCAACGCGGTGCCCGTGGGCACCAGCTGGCCGTTAAGGACCAGTTGGGTAGCCCGCGGGCCTGTGACATGCGACATTCATTTTTTGTGTGACTCGTAGCCCTTCACATCAATCAGACACCTCAGTCACCAAGAAGCAGCCTTCAGTTTTCAAACGGTTGGTGACCCCTGACCGAGATAAATAAATAGCAGTTGAGAATTGCTACAGGTGGATTGCTTTTGTTTCCTGTGGGTGACTCACCACATTGGGTGCATTCAGATGCACTTCAGATTTCATCATAGGGACCCAGCCGGAGTCAGCCCTCTTCTGGAAAGAGCTGCAAGTCCCAATGTTATCATGAACTTCAAGAACCCATGTTGTGTCTTTAACAGCAATAGAAACAGAAGACTTACTCAGAGCCACAGACTCGTCTCTCCAAGGTCTTAAGAGACAATTTGGTCATTTCCACCAGTGCATCTAAAATCCTCGTGCCGAAGGAGTCGTACTGCTTTGTGAAGTCCTGAAATGTTTTGTTTCTAGCTTTTATCCAACTATACAGTATATATACAAATAAAAGTCATGACCGAAGGACACTCTGCCATTTTTGTTTCAAACAGGCATTTTAGGGTCGCTTTGGAAATCTTTATGGATCCTTGAAAGAGATTTTGTCCCACAATGCCTCCCTTGACTCAAAAGTGTACTAATGTCAACACTTATGACCGCACAAACCTTTTCAAAGCGCGTTTGTTTATACTTCTCTTGGCCCTCTGATGTTGCGTCAGAGGCTCTCTGGGTCTCCTTCGGCCCTACAAAGTAAAATTAAAATGTTACATCAGAAATACACTCATAGGTCACAATATTAGGTAACCCTGATTAATGTGGTCAAGGGGTGCAAGGGGTATTCAATTTCACTGGACTGGATTTACTGTACAATCATTCGGGGAAGAGAAACAAATGTGCGACTACCACCACTGTGTCCATCTGCGACCTTTTTGGTTTGCTTGGACTTGTAAATGGCATTGAACACTTTGCCCAACTCGTTCACTGCTTCCTTCACGTGATAGCACTTGTGTTCTAGTCTTTTGACAACCTTATGGCACAGATTCTATTAAAAAAAAAAAAAAAAATGATGTGAAACTCTTTCAGAAGAAAGCTTAATGCAGCGATATTCGTTCAGGAATGAGTTGTGACAGTATTAACCTGAGTGAGTTTAACAAGCGGCTCAATTGCAGAGGCGTGATCTTCGGGCAGCTCGATGAGAACAGTCTCCGAGATCTCTTTCAGGTAATCATCGATGTGAAACTTACAGATCTCTTGCACCTGGAAAGAGTTGAAACATGATTTGAGGTCACGGGACCTAAAACCCTTACAATGACTTGAAATATCTCCTTTTCCGTGACTTAGATTATTCACCAGCTCGTAAAAAAAAAAAAAAAAAAAAAAAAAGCATTCTTGCCCGAATTTTGTCTGTGTTTCTAAAATCTCACCCTCCATACCAGGACGTAGTCCTAAAATATGTTGTGCCTAATTTGACCACAGAGCAGAGTCGGACGGTCCGCAAATGGGCTTATGATAATTAACATTTTAAGATGACTCCACTTTGCAGTTGTTTGAGACATTTCTGAACCAGAGCAAGGTGGGCATTTATACCTGTCCATCAGTCCCGAAGAAAGGTCCGTTAGTCCGTCAATCACGGACTCCCGGAATGAGCACGGACGTAAGTAGCGGTAGTTTTCGGCCGTCCACCAGACTGCCGCGGCTGACTTTACATTGTTAGAAATTCTACAGGCTTAAAAACCCTAATTTGAACACTGACGCTAGCGAGAATCCCTAAAATTGAAAACCGAACACGGGCTTGTAACACTCAGAAATCATCATTTAAATTTGAGGTGCAGCACATACCTTACTCAAGATCGTCTTGAGTTCAGACAAGGCAGTGTCAATATTTATAAAGTACTTGTCCAGAAGCAGTGATGACCACGTGACCATCACTGACCCATAGCGAAGCAAGGACTCCATCTTGTAATTGGACACAAAAATACATTGTGACTCATGAGTAACTCTCCAAATACAGCAAAATTGTATTTCTATTTTATCTCTTCGCACCGCCAGAGGTGGTGCCAAACAATACAATATTTTGGCTCTCAGGTGAGATTTCAAGATGAGTCCAAAATGCATTCAAACCTTTCTAGGTGAACGCCAAATATCCCTAACTTTTTGTATGTAACTACAGTTCTATGACTCCCGAGTGACCATCACAGAATCCTGTCACTCGGAATCTTTATGTTCATGCAAGAAGATTTTGAAGGCCTGACTTTCTGGTGACAAGGGCTCTTGCTAAACCCGACCTGGGGCTCACTGATGACGTTGTTGGAATGCATTCTTGAACAAAGGGACATTTCGTGCTGCTAGGCATTCATAGAACCGTGATTACATACGTAACTGTAGTTTTGTTACTATCGAGCAGTTGTGAACCTATTGCATTGCATTCACAAAAAGAGCTTACTTGGGTGGTCTTTGATGTCATCAGGTTGGTAAAGTCCGCCGGTATGTTGTCACAAGTGAGCTTGTAGTCCATCAAAATGGTCTACGGGAGGAAACACAAGGACACCGTTAGGGTTATTTTCAATGTGCAGCGAGGACGGCAAATGGTGGAAAACAGACTTACGTGAAGACGATGATGATAGGTCTTCAAGCGGCCCTCCACCTTGAGGAAATGCAGTGCCTGCTTGGGAACATCCAGGCCCATCTTCACCAAACTGCTGGCCTCCTGAATGGCCTCACTTATCTTTGGGTCAAAGTTGACCAAGTACTTTCCCGTTACAGTGCAGCGAATCAACAGTGTCGTATTCAAGGCTGTCGAGACACGAAACATATATGAACTGCAAAATCGTATCCAATTTCCTGTGCGCCACTACATTTTCATTCCTTGAGTGTGTCGACTACTCGCCACTCGTGTGTTTTGGACACAGCCCCTTCATTGAATTCAACAGGTGGTGAGTTTGCGCAGCAAACTACCAGTGTGGCCTCAAGACTGCAGAGTATTTTATTAAAAATGACGGCCAGTCGGAAAGGGACTTCTATCTCCCATTTGGTTCCCTTAAAAAAATTGCGAGAGAACAAACCAAAATCCAACTTTGATACTTCTGTCGTCCAAGCTTTGTGGTGGTCCGACTCGAAGCGTTGCAACACGGCTGTAGTCTGATTGTACATTTTGACCACAGTGCGCCCCTCAGGGGTGGTCAGGATGTCAGAGTTCTCCTGCAAAGAGAAAATTAAATGGCCTCATTTTGATGCAGGCGGGATTTGGGAATGTAAAGCTCTTGTATTGGAGCTCCTCTTATCTTACACGTATGTACGATATGGGCTCGTGTATTTTCTTGTAGAGGTGCCGGGCCCAGCGAAGCCTCCCCGAGACAGGCGGCATGTTTCGACCCAAAGGCGGGTCTTCGTTTTGCTTCTCATAGAGCTGTGACAAAATTGATGAGCATATGATAGGAGCATGATATCAACAGAGCAACAAGTTCATTCAGTACATTACCTTTAACACCGCCTCCACTTCTGAGACATAGAGCTGGAGAATAGTACCCAAAGCAGTGGGCATTTCCACCTTTAGACAGGGAATGTTTAATTTCTGAAATCTGCAACAACAAAACCAATACATGTGAAAAAACGTACTTTAAAAAATATGATCATGAGAAAAAACATTGTGTATCGTCTAGTTTGGACTCACCGCTGTATTACACCGAGAGCTTGCTGGGATGAGTCGAACTTGGCAAAGCTCGAGTTCATGAATCCCTTGAGCTGCTCCTGCAAATGGACAGAATGAAAGAAACAGTTTGTCACACTAGACCTCAAATTGACGCCATCTTGAAACTATATTTGAACAGGTAATTTTGTTCGGGTAAATATTTTACCATTCTAAACTGTCACACAAATGTAAAGAATCACATTATAAAAACACTCACATCTAGCATACCTTTACGTTTTCTGTACAAATGCTGCTAGTGTTAGCATTGTAGCAATTCGTAACTGTGATCTGGAACTCTCCGTTTTGCTCGACACGCCCTAAAGGTGGTACCCGACGTCAAGCTGCTGCTGCTGTTTTGCTCTTGATGGTGTTCATAAAACCATGTCTATGTTGTATGTATTTCTGAACAATATTTAATTTTTTAAATAACACAAAGGTTTTCATCACAAAAAGACAAGAGTACACAGTACTCTGTGGACTCTTACCTCCAGGTTACCAATGTGAGACATGAATGTCTCGTAGTCCGCTTCAAATGCCACCGTCCTCGACGCAAACACGTCCGCCTGCTTGTTCTTCAGGTCGGTCGAGACTTTGCGGAACTGACCGGCCAGAGTCTCAATGCCCTCGATGTTGGACTTTGCCAGACACTCGAACGTCTTGAACACTGACATTATTTTAGTGATCTGTAAAAGGGATATGTTAGCTGACCATATGTTAGCTTACCAAATGTTAGCGTGTTAGCATTTTATCAATTATCTCTCAGTCTAATTTGAAAAAGTATCAGAATCTCAGAGAAAAATATTGAATCATTTTCGATTACACTTTAGTGCTTTCTGTACTAAGGATGCCACTTGCAGTATGCTAGCATTCCAACTTTTAGCATATAAGCATTTTATCAGCTTTCTATTTTTTTAATAGTATCTTTCTCGAGCAGGGATGTCCAAAGGGCCACATACAGAAAAATCGACATGAACATGAAAGCTAAAACGTACATGTTCGAGGCGCTTGCAAAAGACCTCAAACTTCCGCAACACGTGCATCTCCGAGAACCCAAAGGGCCTCTGCCCTGGCATTTCCTTTGCTTTTTCCTGTGTTTTCTCCAAGCAAGACTCATACTCCCGATACAAACCGAGGCACTCCTATGAAAAGATCAATTCAGAAATAAAAGTCAAAAGCACACTGCATATGTGACTAAACAGAATTGGCCTGGTCGTCTCCCTTACCTGTATTTTCATAATAACATTTTGAACATCTTGGTCCCATATTGCTGCGCCATTGTTGGAAATGTATCGCCTGCATGCTATGATCATCTGATTTGTAACCTAATTGCAGATCATATCAGATTAAAACTTCATTGCAATTGTACTTTATTGTACTGTACTGTACTGTATTGCAAATTTCCCCAGTGTGAGACAAATAAAGGTTATCTTATCTTATTATCTTATCTTACTCTTTGTACTGTATACAGTTGACGTTAATTGTGTGTAGTCCATTTTGATTCACTCACTTTGATGAAGATGGACGATATCTTTTGACTGGTATGATAGTACCGTGACACCATGTGGATCATCTGAACTGCGTTAATGATGTTCTGCACGCTTTTCACAATGGTGGCCTGACAGGTACAATCAGATCATTTTACACTGACCTTTCCAAAAGCTACCGAATGACGAAAATAAATACATACCGGGTCGCTAGTATAAAGAGGCTGGCATACTTTCTCCAGTGCGTCCAGGAACTTGACATTATCCTTGGCCTCGTTGTAGTTGTCTGTCACCCTAGACTCCAGCATGGGCCACAACTAACCAAGACAACAAACAAAATAACGCCGTTAATTTGTTCTAACCCCACAAGGTGCTCCCTCTGATGTGCAAGGGGAACAGCATAATACGGACATCCAGACACCAACAGAAAATAATTTGACTGACTCAGTAAGCTGCAGTAAAATTAGTCATTTCTTGCAGAGGATAAATTCCATAAGCCTATAAGGACTGTCATATTGTCTTTATTTGCTGTCTTTTCAGAATGCAGACAGTTGACCCTACCCGACCATATGCTGTACAATGATCACCGTGGTGACCAACAGAGCATTCATACCTTCAGTGATTTGGAACGGTTAAGTCTGAGCACGGTTATGACTGCCTTGCACTGTGCGCCGTTGATGTGACTGAGGATGGAGTGGAATTTCAAGAGTGCCTGCCTCCAGTAATCTAGCTCGCTCAGCGGCCCGTCCGTCACAAGACCTTGCTTCAGCGCTTGAGTCTCCAGCAGGACCTACTCATTACAAACAAAGTGGACAGTGTTTTCTATACTGAGACCTTTTCTCCGCCTTGCGTTAACAGTCTTTTTTGACACCTACCTGGTCAATTTGCTTATACCACTGTATCAGGATACCCTCTAGCTGTTTAACCAGGTCACTGTTTTCTGCTGCTAACGTCATATCTTCAAATGATGCCAGTTTACTGAAATCAACATTCTTGGCCTCAGCCAGTTTAACATTCTGATAGCTCATCTGGATCACTGGTGCGGAAAAAAAGACAAATCAAATACCATCAAAAAATGAGGACTATTTTAATCATATCGCTGAATGGTAACCTTACCATCTAAGCCCATCAAACTGTGCTTGAAGATGTGTTCAAAGTTTGGCTTAATCTTGGCTCTGAGCTTTGACTTGTCAATTTTTAGCAGTGCTTGGAAACTGGGCAACAGGTTGCTGAAGCTGTTCTTGATGGCTTTATGGAAACCATCCCGGGCATCAAACATGGAAAAAAAGGTCTCCTGAAAAGCGGAAACAATGTCGAGAAATGATTTGCTGATACAACGCGACCGACTATTCTGTTTTCATAGACTATGCTAACTGCCGAGTACGGTATTCTGCTTCTACATTATTTATTTTGGGTTAGTTGTCAATCCATGCTTTTGTAAAGATTTCTAATCATGCATACATGCATGGGGTTTTGCTCCATACAATGCTGCTGACCATTTTGTTCACGTTCACACCCACATGTTGGAAACAGATATTTTTATAGTTCTGATTCTATCCCACCTGATGTATGTTGTCTGCAGTCACAGCAACGTCCACTCGGACCCGAGTGAAAGTGCAATATATGCCCGTAAGGCGCTTCTTTGTCAAATTGGCGTGGACGAGTCGCAGTGCTTTCCGGGGACCAGGAATTGCACGGCCACACTCTGAGGTTAAATTCTGAATTAATTCTCATAAAATGTAAATGAAAGGATGAGCATCTTTCAAGGGTGGTACCTACCTATCCCAGGATGCTTTGCCTCTTGATACACGAAGGCAAGGGTAGAGCTTCCATTTATGGCAAAAAAATTATCAAAAGGAGCCAACTACATGCAAAGACAGAGAAAAGACATCAACTCATTTTTTTTAACTCTTTTACAAACGTTATTTTTTCAATACTATTACAAGACAAACCAAGTTTTCTCAAAATCAAAAGCGTTCATTCACAATACAGTAGCTCCAAGAGCACCCTAATTGTGCGCTCATTCACTTGAGTACATGCGAAAATACTGAAGATTTCCATTGTGACAGAAGACATTGTGGTTATCACTGAACAATTCCAGAGTGCTCGATTGTCTGTGTCCTTTTGAGTGGTGAACAAAGGACAATTTTACCACACATTATGTAAAACTTCCTTTTTCCTCATCTTGAAACTAATAAGAAAGGGGAGTGGTGTCACGTGGTTTGTCGCGACACCTTTTAATTGGGTAAGAGCAGTCGGATGTTTTAATGCTTGGAAAAAAATAAGACAAACCAAGAGAAAGCACCAGAAATGTGCCAGTGCTACTATTCTCCTTCTGTTGTGCATTGACAACTCCTTTCAGTGCGTTGCATATCCTCACCGAAAAGTCCAGAATGAATTGTTCCACCGCTGCCGGTGTCAAGCCCAGCCTGAGGGCCAGCATGTTGATCACATAGCGGTGTGCGGGGCCCAAGTGCTCCTTTCGCTCCTTCCTTGCATGCTTGTGATTTTCCTGAGGATAACAACCAGCATGTTAAATACATTTAAGTAATGGTAAAACACGAAATCAACTGTATTGGTCAAATTTGCACTTTTCGGTACCTGATTTATCGCTTCTTGGGACTCCATTATTTAGAGATCTGGCAGAAATGCGACTTTGCTGGTCAGCGGCTCTCCAGATTCTGCCTAATCAAACAGGAATGGTAATAATTAGACACTCATCATTACTACACACATGATATTCAAATTAAGACAAACCAAGACCCAACTGGTTCCTACCCAGGGCTGACACATTAGCACAGTACAGTACTAGTTACTAGTTGAACTAATACAGGGCAAGAACACAACAGAGATTAATTTAATCAAAACCCAATACAATCCTTAACTTAACTTTAATAATAAAGCACCAAAAAAAAAAAAACAACGGCAGCAGTAATACAGTGCTATCGTATCCATATTTAATGTATCCAATTAAATTTTACACGAGCTCCCATCACATACCTTACAGCATTTTTACTGACAATTGGAGAAAATGTAACTTTTGCATTTCAATTGATGACATCTAATTGTGATAACTGGAGTAAGTTGCTTTAGCCTCACGCTAACTTTACGTATTTTCGCTTTTCTTTGCCGCCACCCCTCCGCAATAAATAAACAAAAATGGCTTGTTCTTCAATTAACGCAATGGTTTGAGTAACAGCTGCCCGTGTTAAGAAATGAAAAAAAAAACGAATTTTCATTGCTACATTTGACCTTGTGTCTGGACGTTGGTCATACTTTGCCGTTGTTTCGGAACGTGAGTGATTAAGTGGCGTGTTCTACCTCATAAATCACACGTCACACATGCGTCGCACTAAATTAGATACGTTTTCCCCTTTCATGGTATTGAGGTAATCCCATTACCGTCTTCTAGTTGTAGTAAGGGTGCGTTCATCAACCCCCGGAAATTGGAAAAACTGATCACCAGGTGAAATCGGTTACTGTATACATTTGTCGGTCCCGGCGCTGAATGTAAAAGGTCCAGTGAAAGACCATAATAAAATATCTAGGGTCTTTTTGGCTGCACTATATTTCACCTTTAATATGATCTGTATTCATTGGGTGTACAGTACTATATTTCACCTGTCATTTGAACTATTCTGCGTGTTCTACGTGGAAATCGACGTTCTCCACTATATCATCTATACATGAAGCTTCGTACTTTTTTGTGATAATGAGACGTTAATGCACTTTCAATGACTTTTTCAGTCTCGTAATTATTTTTGTAACAGTCGAGCCTGGTAAACTCCGAGGTGGAGATTTCCTACTTTCCAATATTTTTAAACATAGCATTACGTGAGTTGATACCGTTACACACGACAACAAAACTACGTCCATAATGTTCGTGTGATGTCGTTGCACATATTTTGTAATCGTATAAACGTTGTAACGAGACACAATTTAACACAGATCGTAATAAACCAACATGATTGATCCACGTTTAAGTGGTGAAATGCGATCTCTATCGGTGAACTGACGTATAGCATGAGGCTGTGGCACATATTAAGCTGATCTTGGATCAGTTCTCGAAGCAACTTACATTTCGTGGTCCACGGTGATTGGTCTAGCCGGGCCGTTTGCTCGTCCTATGGCGTTCGGACATCTGTTAGCTTGAGCGGCTTCTGGAAAGACACTCCGCTCCAGCCGTCAGGTCTCTTCGAAAAGACCCCTGAGAAGGACATCACATCTGACCTGAGACGAGTAAAGATGAGCAAAATGCAACTTTTGGCTTCTGTTACGGTGCTTTTAGTAGCATATTGCGTACAAGCCAAGGTGTACTTTCGGGAAGACTTCTTGGATGGAGGTGAGGTTGAAGCAAAACTGAAAGTCGATCGATGTTCCGCTCTTAAATCGAATGTAGAAATAGCACATAGGTCCTGTTCTACTCATATTTCACAGTGTTCCTCAAACCTGCGAAGGTTTTCAAAGGTTTTGCTACCGTGTTTGCTAACGAGGCGTCGCCTTTTAAGTGGGCGTACGGCATCCGATAGTATGTTCTCGTGCAAACTATTCAGTCATTAATCTGCCTGATTACTGTGTTGTGTTTGTTGTAAAGATGAATGGAGAAGTCGATGGGTGGACTCTAAACACAAGTCTGACTACGGCAAATGGAAACTGACGGCTGGCGACTTCTATGGGGACGCCGAGAAAGACAAAGGTGATCACCACGCTCCTGTCATGTGTTGATTCAACATAAAATGATAACAGAGCTAAGGTGCTCGAGCGACTTTTGGCTGTGTGCCTGATCTTTGAGTTAAACAAATAGAAAGCAAAACTGATTTTTCATCCACATTAGATAGCATTGGTCTGGAAGCTTGGTAGTTTACCATTGCGTCTGTCTTGTGTACCTGCATGCTATTGGGGCTCATCTGGGAAAATTCCAGAGGAATTTATGAAGGTACTTGCACTGTAATTCGCTGCCTCAAATCAAAATGTCTGACATCCTGTTCAATTTGGGGGGTGTGACCTGTTATGTTACAGAGATATATTGTATAGTTGTTAATGCGGATTTCAATGGAAAACAGAGAATGGTCATGATAAAAGGTGAAACATTGTATCAATAAATACAGAAGATAAGACAAACTCCTGTCCTCAAGGGCCGCAATCCTGCTCGTTGTAGATGTTTCCCTCTTAACACACCTAATTCAAATGATCATGATTGTTATCAGGCTTCTGCAGAGCTTGCTGATGAGCTGATCATTTCAATCCGGTGTGTTGGAATAGGGAAACTTCTAAACCATGACAGCGCTGCCCTTTCGAACTGGAATATTGTGTGTATCAATCGTCTTCTCCTCCCCTTTTTAGGTCTCCAGACAAGTCAAGATGCCAGATTTTACGCATCCTCAGCCCGCTTTGAGCCATTCAGCAACGAAGGAAAGAGTCTGGTCATTCAGTTTACGGTCAAGCACGAACAGAAGATCGACTGTGGCGGCGGCTACGTCAAGGTCTTCCCCGCAGACTTGGATCAGACCGCCATGCACGGGGATTCCTCATACTACATCATGTTTGGTAAGTCACAGCCCTGCAAGCTCCAGCAATGAATGTAGGTGTAAAAATTGCAAGCTTGAGTGAATGTTTGCTTCAAACAGGCCCGGACATTTGTGGCTACAGCACGAAGAAGGTCCATGTCATTTTCAGTTACAAGGGCCAGAATCACCTTATCAAGAAGGAGATTAAGTGCATGGTAATTTATTAAAAATTATTTAGGAGTTGATGTGCTCCAAAGCCCTCAAACTTTGATTTCTCATCAAACCACCACCCTCCACCAACCCCCCCGCCGGCTGTGTTCCTGACAGGACGACGAACTTAGCCACCTGTACACGCTGATCCTAAATCCCGACCAAACTTATGAGGTGAAGATCGACAACAAGATGGTGGAGTCCGGCAGCCTGGAGGAGGACTGGGACTTCCTGCCCCCAAAGAAGATCAAGGATCCCGAAGCCAAGAAGCCCGAGGACTGGGATGACCGCGCCAAGATCGACGACCCCGATGACACCAAGCCCGAGGTAGGGAAGAAACATTTTAGCATTAACTGTCATATAAATGCGAAAATAAGTCAGCGCATCTGCAAAGTATAGCTAATTTGGATGACGCATGTCTTAGCTACCAAGAAATGCCCAAGTTAACTTTTGATGTTGGAAATACGTTAACTTTTCAGGACTGGGACAAGCCTGAAAACATCCCTGACCCTGATGCCAAAAAGCCAGACGACTGGGACGAAGACATGGATGGAGAGTGGGAGCCTCCAATGATCCCCAACCCAGAATACAAGGTAGCTGAAGTAAAAACTGTTTTGTTTTGTTTTTCTTAGTACCAAGATGCTACAAGATGGCACTAGAGCAACAAACGTAATGCCAATACATTTGTGTACAGCCTATCTTGCTTTTGGGTTGTGACATTCAATGGCGGATCTTAGCCCAGGTTCGCGGCCAAGTCCGTGGCAGAGAAACAGGATCATGTGAATTTTACACTGTTCTATCACAATCCAGAACGGCCTGCTCAGACATATTTTGGGAAATGGGCAGCTCATAAAAGATATACTTGGTTGTATTTTTCTCATTTCATTGGTGGGCAGGCACTCCACATTCTACGATTGACAATGTTCCATATTACCCCCATTATGAGACTTCCTGATGCTTGAGCATAACTCTAAATACCCTTTCGGTTGCAGGGAGACTGGAAACCCAAGCAAATGGACAATCCCAACTACAAAGGAACCTGGGTCCACCCTGAGATTGACAATCCCGATTACAGCCCTGATTTAACCATCTACAAGTTTGACAACATCGGTGTAATTGGTCTCGACCTTTGGCAGGTAGGAAATATGCTTGTACTGCTAAATTATCACAACGATGCCAAGCTGAAGGTCAATTTTGCGCTCAGGTCAAATCCGGCACCATCTTTGACAACTTTCTTATCACCGATGACGTGAAGGAAGCAGAGGACATCGGAAACGAGACGTGGGGTGTCACAAAGGTATGAGTCATATTCTCGTGGAAATTGAAATTACAAGATACTTAGCCTAAATATGTTTTGCATTCATCCACAGGAACCTGAGCGTAAAATGAAACAGGAACAAGATGACCTGAAACGCAAGGAAGAGGAGGAAAAAAACAAAGAGCAAGACACCCACACGGAGGAGGATGAGGATGAAGATGAGGGTGAGGAGGATAATGAGGATGAGGAGGATGATGATGAGGAGGAGGAAGAGGATGACGCAAAGCCCAAAGATGAGCTTTGAGAAGCTCTGCTTTGCAGAAAGAGAAAACTGTACATTCCAGGGATATTGTGGCTGCTGTGCATCCTCACTCTAAAAAAGAAAATGTCAACAAAGGAGGATAAACTGCACCTTGGCCGCTATGTCAACATTGCGTCTCCATTCAATGACTGGACGCACAATTGCAGTCATATTTTGTCTTGAGTTTCCATCATTTTCGATGAAATTATTTCCTGTCTTTTCCTCATTACATTTGGTTTGGGGTGAATGGTAAACATGCCACATTTGTAGCAAGTCATTGATATTTTAAGTGGTAACGTCTTTTGCTGTGGAAAACAATTGTGCACAATTCAATTCACCCCAAATAATCAAGGATGCTTTTGTAATGTTTCCCATTCACCCGCTGACATTTCAAATAGGAATCGCCCCATGATGATGTCTTCAAATTATGTAAAATCACTGTCTATGTTTTAATCCAAGTGTGATCAAAGTTGTGTGGTAAAACAACTTCTCAATCCCTTGCCTGATGTGACTAAAGCAAGGCATTGCTTATTTCTGTTGGTCGAAATAAAAGACTATACCAAAGTTCTTATTAAATGTTTAGAATTGACTTTGTATGTGTGGCTTATATACAATTTGTGTACCTTCAGAGATAGTAAGATAAGATAACCTTTATTTGTCCCACACTGGGGAAATTTGCAGTCTACAGCAGCAAAATTAGGAGGGGGGATAAAGTGTTTCATCAACCCTGGGCATGCTTAAACCGCCATGACAAACGAGTCATGAGAGGACTCTTAATGTTTTGGTCACTGGGTTTGAATCCTGATCGAAGCGTAAATAAATGTCACGTGCCTAGATTGTTCAAATGTTGATTATCCATCATTCTAAATTCAGGTAATAAGAAATCAAAGGCGTTGTTTTATTTTAAATCTGATATTTTATAATACTGTTGCCACTTTGTCAAAACACTGGGAAAGTCAATTCAAATCAAACAAGTAATTTGAAGCATAGTTGTAATTTTATTGTTAGGATGTTGTTGCAAATAAACCTGTTATTTTGAAAGATAAGCGTAATGCAAATGCACAAGATTTTTATTCAAATCACCCCATAGAATTCTTCATTCGCATTTAAGTTTGTGTGTAAAATAGCTCACGAACGACGAAATTATAAAAATAAACATTCGCATCAAATCGCTTTTAACGATTCACGGCCTCCACGCAAGGGAACAGTTCTTACTTTCACACAAGTATATTTATGCCTCCGTACATTTGACAATATAATTTTTGAATACTGTCCCTCTCATGTACGTTTAAAGGCAACAACACGGAAACGTACGTGGTTCCCTTCCGTGACATTTCCGCATATAATAAACCCGCCCACTGGTTGACAATATCCAATCGGCTTCAAACAGAAAGTGTTACCACTGCTTAATTAAACAACTTGTCACTGTGCGGTCCAGAAAAAAAATGAGTCACTTGCCCTTAAAAAACACTGAGACTGGAGATGGATAGTGCAAAAATACGATTTAAATAAATCGCAATATTGGAGAAAGAGCGTATAAAAAGGAATCTGAATCGCCATTGTTAAACAAGTATGCGCGGGACGTTCGTTCGTGACCGCGAACGAAAGGGGCGGATAGACGCGCGCTCCCGAGTCACCAGGAAACATGGCGGCGCTCATGACTCTCAGCCAGGTAACGAATTAAAACTAGCTTCGAAAAAGTTGGCTTTTCCCCCCCGCATGTCGACCGCCACCGTGACATCACAACTAACTCTTCATACAGCATTGTAGTCTGACCTGTACATTACTTTTCTCGTCTATGTCATTTTTCCCCGAAAGTTTTGTCGGTCGGTATAGCTGCTCAACTTCCTTTAGTCAGGACGTTAATGATCATAGCAATGACGGACAAGATTTGACAAAGGGCGACTAAACGCCACAGACGCCCAATGTTATAAGCTGCACTCCTTTTTCATCGACTTTCATGTGCTTTCTCCCAGTTATCGAGTGGCAACCCAACCTACGAGAGCTACTACAGACAGGTACGAAGCTCCCATGGCGTCCCTTTTGAGTACAAAAAAAAAAAAAGTGAATCAATGTTTGTGTGCTACAAACCTATTATGATTTCTTCTTTTTGTAGTTGGATCCAGTGAACAGTGGCAAGATATCAGCTGGGGATGCAGCTCAGTTCCTGAAAAAGTCCGGGCTGTCAGACAACACACTCGGAAAGGTTTGACGGCCATAAAATACAGCAGTTTCCCAACCTTAATTGAGCTGAGGCACGTATTTTACATTCGAAAAAAAATATCATGGCAAACCACCCAACAAACGTCTGGAGAAGTACAACCACTGAAATAATGATGCCCCCCATCTCATTCGACTGTACAGTGGAACCTTTGTTTACAGAAGATTTAGATTTGCTGAGCATTTTTCACTTTTCAGCTGCTTGGTTTTCCTTCAGATAAATATGGTTAGACCCAAACTTGCCTGCCTGCTTGACTGAGCCACTCATTTCCTGCAATTGAGCACCCAATCACAGCACCCCACATGCGTGTGCAATTTCATTGAGTGTTTCCCTGTTGATGCATTAATCGCATTTTTTTCCCCCACTTATTCAAGGTTCTACACTAATGGTCCACTGAACAGTGGTTGGGAATCACTGCTATTCTTGATATGTATGTTTATTTAAGCTTTAATGACATTTTTTCCCCCCCAAAGATATGGGATTTGGCTGACTCGGAGCGTTGATGCGCATTAATCAGAAGCCTTTTACATTTTTTTTCCCCACTTATTCAGGGTTCTACACTAATGGTCCACTGAACAGTGGTTGGGAATCACTGCTATTCTTGATATGCATGTTTATTTAAGCTTTAATGACACTTTCCCCCCCGCCCCCCAAAGATATGGGATTTGGCTGACTCGGAGCGAAAAGGCTATTTGGACAAGCGGGTAAGGCACAGAGTTTCTTTTGTACTAAATGTGATGTCATTGTGCATGCCGATGTGTGCGCCAGTCACTGGGTTGTTCTCGCTCTCCTTCCCTTTCTACTTCCCTCATCTTCTCCTTCAGGGTTTCTTCATCGCCTTGAGACTGGTCGCCTCGGCGCAGGCAGGGCATGACGTTAGCATCAGCAGCCTCAGCCAAACATTGGCACCTCCTACGTTTGTGAGTATCAAAAAGAATGATGTCCACACTTGATAGTCAATCACAAGTTGGTCCCATGGACGTTGCCGATGTTTGAAACAAACAAACAGAACAGGAGGGTTAATATTTTTTGTCTTTCATTTGATTTCCGAACATTAAAGCCATAGCCGTACTGAAATTGATCTTAATTTCTTCCAGAGAGACACAAGCAGCCCATTATTAAGCGCTCCAGCACCTGATTCGCATTGGGCCATAAGGGTGAGTTCTTTAATTTAACCTTCCGCAATATGTGACATTATCATGCTATATTTCCTCTACCCCCGCTCCTTTGTACTTATCTCTGTTTTGATTTCCAGCCGGACGAAAAAGGGAAATTCGAGGGCATTTTTGAGAGTCTCACCCCTGTGAAGGGCCTCCTTTCCGGCGATAAAGTCAAGCCCGTCTTAATCAACTCGAAACTACCTCTGGATGTGTTGGGGAAGGTGACGTTACCTACTTAAAACCACAACCCCTGTCATAGACCATTTCATAATGTTTGTGAATTGACGCCAGGGCACTTTTGGGTGTCAAAAAGTGATTTACGACAACTGGCCTGAACTGAAAGGAATTTTGCCGCCAAATGTACTCTAAAAGGTTATTATTCATATATTTATTGATATACATATATAAAATCCAGCAGATCCTGAATGTGAATCAAGTGGATGACACCTCACACTTTCAGACTATGGTGGTACAGAAATAGGCTGAAATGATCATTCAAGCCATTTACTCTGTTTCTCGATCTGTCTAACCTGGCCAAATGACATGTAAAGGTTGAACTTGTGATGACATCAGAGAATGTTTTTTTGCCACCTGGAAGTTCCTGTGACATCATGAGGAAAAGGTCTCAAGCGGAAAGTTCATGAGTGCTTTTGTCATCAAGCAGATTTGGGACCTGGGTGACGCGGACAAAGATGGCTACTTGGACAAAGAGGAATTCATTGTGGTCAGTTGCCCACTTGTCGGTGAACACCAAAATGCATATTGCCTGAGTGTGAATCAAGTGGATGACACCTCACACTTTCAAACTATGGTGATATAGAAATAGGCTGAAATGATCATTCAAGCCATTTACTCTGTTTCTCGATCTGTCTAACCTGGCCAAATGACATGTAAAGGTTGAACTTGAGATGACATCAGAGAATGTTTTTTGCCACCTGGAAGCTCTTGTGACATCATGAGGAAAAGGTCTCAAGCGGAAAGTTCACGAGTGCTTTTGTCATCAAGTAGATTTGGGACCTGGGTGACGCGGACAAAGATGGCTACTTGGACAAAGAGGAATTCATTGTGGTCAGTTGCCCACTTGTCGGTGAACACCAAAATGCATATTTCAGATTCTTACCACCGCTTATCTTAACCTTTTAGGTCATGCATCTTGTGTACCGAGCCATGGAGAAGGAGTCGGTGCCGCTTGCCCTGCCCCCAAGCCTTATCCCACCCTCCAAAAGGAAAAAGGTGGCAGGCACAATGCCCGGCGCCGTGGCTGTGCTGCCCTCCAGGTCTGCCTCCTTTGCTCTCAAGGACAGCACGAGAAGCGTCTCTCCCCTCCCCAGCGTCTCTCCCCTCGCCGTCTCTCCTTACGCCAGCCAGACGGCCAACAGTCAGTCTTAAAGGAGATATCTTATGGAAAATGTCCCTTTTTAATGGCTTGTGAAGAAGTACAGTAACTGGGTCTCTGATACCTCAGACACCAAGTTATCCTTTTTTAAGCTTCCTGTTTTCTAAAATGTGTTTGTGAGCAAAACGATAAGAATTTAGCCGTATTGTGATGTCACAAAAATGACAGCAAACGCCACACGGGATGGCTGCGGCCCGGAATCAAACCCATGACCGCTGCACCGCGAGACGGACGAACTAAACAGTCAAAACACCGTGACACCTTAATTACATTCTGATATCGAAAATTTGATGAATTACTGAGTACTTCACTCACTGAAAATATATATTCTGTTCACCATCTGCATATCTACCAATATATTTCTATTAAAATGTTTGAGAATATTTCATCAACGTGAATAACATTCTGATATATATATTTTTTTCAATGTACTGTAAATATTTACATTTTTGTGTCTACTTTGCTTATGTTAGTATTCTGATATAAGATATTTTTGGAACTGTTGGTTTTATTTTTTTTTACTTCTGTATAGTTTAGTCATCTTAGTAGTGTGCAGGATGTTTTAGATTTTCTTTTTCATTTCAGGGCATACGATTGCAACCAAAATGGTCGCACGTGTGACCTGTTTGCCCTCAGTATGCGAGTAAGAATTTCATTCCATTCATAAAACATTTTAGGATGTCGGTATGCATTCCACGCTTGCACATTTGTCTCCGGATGTCCACGGCATTAACACACATCCAAATAGCGACCAGGCAAAAGCAAGCAAAAAAAAACAAAAAACACACAGCTCCTGTGTTTGTTGTAAGTGCTCTTCGAAGCGGCTGTCCATTGTTGTTTGTAACTCTGGCGCATGTGTCGTTGGCACGCTGTGTGTTCACTCCACGCACACTGAAGACCGGTGATACAATCACCTCTGCCCCTCTCATATCTTTATGATCGATGGAGACACCAATGTCTCCACATACACCAAGAATGAGACTGTATATGCCCGCACTATTTGGAATGAAAGCCCATCTGATATCCTCTTTCGCCACATGCTGAAGGTAGTGTGTATTTCTGTACATGATGGAAGTGAAAAAAGCTGTTTAAAATAAAAAAGAAACAGTACTTGTCATATTTAGAATTTGATACACTATACATTTGAGCAATTTTTTTTAAAGTAATATTTATTGATAGGTAATCAATAAATGAAAACGGACATACAGCACATGCCTTTCTTATTTGCGACATTTATGTTGCCCTCCTAAATTACAAGAAGATTAAATCAAGTGTAAACAAAGTTGATCTTCACTGTGAATTATTCTACAAAGATAACTCAAGTCACCGTTACTATTCACTTTTTACGAAACTATGTTACACCAGTTAAGACAAATATTAATCTGCATGTATGCATGGTTGTCTTGTTAGTTTGTGTCACTTGTTGTTCACCGTTGGGAAAAGTACCAGAATGTATCAAACAGTCTATGCGGACGCATTCGTGATCTAAAAGGCCGAGACAGCTTGGGTAACAAAATTGACTTTTCACGCATCAGAATTCTATTCAGTTGCCAGTCAAGTGGCTCGACTCGTTTTGCCACATTGTACCATTCGCTTGTCGCTTACTCTTTACCTTGTTATTGCTTCACAGCTCTTTCACTTGTTAAACTTTGACAAACAGGTTTCAGGCAGGAAGTGAGGCCTGTCGATCACCTTTTCCCATCTTTTTTTTTTTTTTTTTTGGTCACTTTCATTTTGTTGCGTATTGACTTTGTCAGTGTTATTTTTAATGGAGCAAATAAATCAGGAAAAGCCATATCCTACTTACATATTTAAAACCAAAGTTATGCAGCTGAGCTGCCAAGTCACGGTGGGGGAGCTCGAGGGGGGCGGTGTTTGGTAAACACTCTTGGCAGTTTGGCAAAATTCAGAAACACTCACAGTTTAGAGGCTGTTACATTTCACATGATAGACGGCTTGGCGCTCCAGAGATCCAAATATTTATGTACAAGTAATTAAAAAAGTACAATTTGAAATCATAACAACGGTCATGTTTTCTGTGTTGAATTCCAGCCGGAGCAGCAGCAGCAGCAGCAGTGGGTGGTGCCGGTGGCTGACAGGGAGCGGTACAAGGACATCTTCAAGAAAACTGACACAGATAACGACGGACTGGTCGATGGAACGGAGGTCATCGAGATCTTCATGCACTCCAGCCTGTCCCAGACCATGCTGGCACAAATCTGGTGAGGCAGCCACTTGCTCACTGGTGTGCCATCGAGAGCAAAAAAAATAAGCAAAAGCTCCCGACCGGGTCTATTATGAAGAGCGTACACCTCTCCTAACAGCAGTCGTCGTACTATATTTTTACCCTCCAGGCCTTTCGGTCGTGGTCATTCACTTTTCAAAGTGTGTGGTACCGGTCATGTCTTGATGTGTCATGTGCAGGGGCCTCGCGGACACTAAACAGACGGGCAAGCTGACCCAGGAGCAGTTCTGCCTCGCCATGCATTTGATCCAGCAGAAGATCACCAAAGGCATCGACCCGCCAACTACTCTCACTCCAGACATGATTCCCCCCTCAGAGAGGGCGACAAGCTTGGTGGGCTCTTCAGCGACGCTTCCTGTGAGTCTTGATTTGAACGACCCTTGAAATGATTGTCGGGTTGAAGTACCGGTTTTCCCACTCCTTTGTTTTTCAATGATTTTTGCTTTTTTTTTTTTTTTTGCTCTGCCTGGCTAAATTGTAATGCTTCATGCTGTCCTTTGGCATGTTTTTTTTGTTTTTGTGCTACATTCCTTCCTGTTTGACAGAGCTTTTTTGAACTTTTTTTTCTGCCGGGAGACTTGACTACGAATGTGCTGCACAAGCTCACGCTCCCACTGTGAGTCTTTGCTATTTTGCCACCAGGGGGAGCTATTACTCCACCGTGATGTTCTACACAGCCTGCGTTGGTTCAACTTTTATACCTTCTTTCTGTACTGGTCATGGTTATTTTAAACTGCAACTTTTATGCTCATTGCTGTCAAAAATGCATACCTACACAGTACATTCTCCAACCTGACATCAGTCACAGATAATCAAACTGAGATATCCTCCTGAAACGTCTCATACACCTGAAACGTCACTCATACTAAACAGTTTTGCAAGTAGAGCAGTAGATGCAAGGCAGCCAAGCGGTGCCAAAGCTCTGGGTAAACAGATAATTTTGTGTATTGTTACTCTTTCCACGTTACATGACTCAATCAGCTGGTTTACAGAGCAGCTTTGTGAGTGGTGCAAGTGTGTGCGAGGAGGCAGGCAAACGGCGTTCATTTCAGTTCAGTGTATGATTTCACTTCTTGCATGTGACACAACTTAGCAGGCCTGATTTAGATAAGGTTTGCACGTGCAAAACAGATCCAAGTTTGATTACGCACACAAACAGATTTAAGATGAGCTACTGACCGCATCCAGTTGGTAGATCAGTAACTGGGATTCCGTCTGTCAACCGCACTGAATTGCCGCACAGTTAATTTTGTGGTGAGGAGTACATGGAAGCAAATTGAGCACAGCAAATAATGTTCAGTAAAACTCTTTAGTTGTTCGTGATAGTTCCAATATTTTATCTGTTTTCCTAAGTTGGACTCCTTTTACTTTGATACTTTTAAACCCGAGAGAGACATAAAATGAAGGAATGCTCCGTGATCTCCATCAAACTTCCTCGAGCTGCATTTGGCATGACATCATGATTCGAAAAGGTGCGTTCCTTTGTGTCGTCTCGTCAAGAGTGCTTTTCATGCATTGTGCGGCTGTTCAGGACGCACGAGATGTATTTCCTTCCTGTCTTTTGTTTTGCTGCAAGCATCAGCGGGAGCTCCTTCACTCATCCCAATTCCTAATTCTTCACCCGTTTTCTTCCCTCTGACATTATTTTTATGTATTTTATAAACTCTCCATCCCGCCACAGGACTTCACCACCTTAGCGCCCGCAGAGGTGACGGGCATCAAAGAACTGGATGACCTCAGTCAGGAAATAAGTCAGCTGCAGAGGTGAGCCCCTCCAAGTGGCCAAGGAGAGATTTGTTTCTCTTTCTTTTGGGGGTGGGGGGGAAATGAGCTCCATGAAACGACAAGCTTTTATTCATTATTTATTGTATCAACATTTGTGAGCTGTGCTGCTGCTGCTATCAGCTGTTTCATAAGAGAGGCGCTGCCAAGCAAAGCAGTGTCCAGCAGCAGTCTTCAGTAGAAAGTCATGTCAGCCAACATTTTATTATTTTTTTTAAACATACTTTAAATCAAATTGAGCTGGTTGCCTAACAGCAGTGCAATACTCTTGCACATTTACAGTATCTATATTCACTGGCCACCACCTGGGCAGTACAACAGCCGTTTGGGGAAAAAAAAAAACGCGCCTTTTGTAAACGGTATCAAGCTCAGTGTTGACGACTTAATTGAACTGTCTTCTTATTTATCATTAATTTGTAATAGTAAGCATGACGGACTAGTGGTGAGCACGTCTGCCTCACGGTTTGGGATTTGGGGCCTTCCTGTGTGATGTTTTGCATTGTTCTGCCCGTGCATGTGGGGGGCGGGGGGTGTTCTCGGGGCACTTTGGCTTCCACTCGCATTCCAAAACTATTCATGTTAGGTGCACTGAACTCAAATCTTTTCTTTTTAGGAAAATGCAACACCAGTGATTAGATGTATGGCTAGCGCGCAAACTGTTGCACTTCCTGTAACTCGCCTTATGTTGTTTCATTTTTACATTATTGGGATGTCTAATACACAAACACCCCCAAAATGGACATGCACATTTTTCACACGACAGCATCCATGCAGTCTTTAAAAAATTCTATTCACTGACCGAAATCTGTTGCGTGGTTCCCCTATAGAGAGAAATTAATTCTGGAACATGAGCTCAAAGAAAAGGAGGAAACCATCAGAAGACAAAATCATGCTGTTCAAGTAAGCGGAAGCCCCAAGAATATGCTCCAGAGATTAAAATAGGGGGTACAAAGACATGAATTATTCGGTCTCAATTGACTTTACGATATCGTTTTGTATTTAGAACATGCAGCATGACGTGGACAGGGAGAGCAGCAGTCTGCAGGACATAGAGTTGCAGAAGCGTGACGCCCAGCAGCGTCTGGACGAGATGGACCAGCAGCGCTCTAAACTGGAAGGGATGCTCAACGACATCAAGCAAAAGTGTCAGGAAGAGTCGCAGACGGTTAGCTGTATTTTATGATTTAAAAAAAAATTCTGACTTCATAGAAAACTAGTCGTCACATCTCAACTCCTCTCCGTCCGTCCTCTCGCAGATCTCCACTCTGCAAAGCCAAATCCGCTCGCAGGAGAATGACCTTCGGAGCCAGGAGAAAGAGGTCGGCCGCACCAAGGCGGACCTCGGCCGCCTGCAGGACGAAGAGGCGCAGCTGGAGCAGAGCCTGCATTCGGGCCGTCTCCAGCTGGATAGTATTGTCAAGTCTCTCCAGACCACCCATGAAGAGATCAGCCAGGTGAGAGTGGACTTTGACAATATGTTGACCTGTTCTTATTCTGCCTTTAGCCGCGCTCACACTGGAGAGCGGCAAAACCCGACACGTAGAAGTACCTGTATGTGTACGAAATTTAACTGCGTGAGTGCAAAGTTGTAATTAGGGAGACACTAGGCCTGAGCAAGAATAAATGTCAGAGCAGTATATTGGCCTAGATCAAGTCACGTACCTAAATCTGTGACCCAGAGAGGCCGAAATCGCAATCCAGATTGATAGATCTAGATTTGTGAATGGTAGAGCACTGAGAGGTGACAAAAATACAGTTTTTACATTCAACCTGTAGTGTACATATCATTTTTAATCAATCAGTGTTCCTGCTCTGATGGTGAGCACAGCACTGAGGTTTGCGGGCAGTTAAGACTGCTTAAAAGGCAAAACAAAGAAATGTTGTGCTGTTATTGTTATTGCCTGTTATATGGTATTAGCCTTCTTTTTGTGGGATATAAAAAAAAAATTAAAAATGAAGTGTGTGCAATCTGCTCCCGTTTGACATGAAAGAAAAGCACTTTTATATTTTGTTGAAGTTTGCAGAAGACTGCCTCCTGCCTTATTTTTTTTTTTGCGCTGACCAAATAATCTCTGAAAGTTTGAATAAAAATGGGTAAAAGATGGCAAAAGAAGAAAGAGCAGGAGTTCACACGGGCCAAATCCTTTCGAGTTCCGCAGCTATGCGGCTAAAACAATAACCCTGTATGTTATTGTATGTTATTCCTTGTGGATGAAAGTGTCTTTTCTGTTTTTTTTTTTTTGTTTTTCCTGCGGCGCTTTCAGGCTCGCAGCAAGCTGTCGTTGATCCAGGAGAACCAGAAGGAGTTTACCAAGACCATTGAGCAGTACAACAGCGCCCTGCGCGACCTCACCGGGGGGAACAATATGGCAGACACGAGTCACCTTTTCTCAGAGAACGGCACCTTCAGGGGCGGGGCGGTGAGTATCCTACCGTAAGTGTCGCCCGGCTATCAATTTTTTTTGGAGGCATACAATGCGATGCATTTTTATTTGTCCCCACCTCAGGATGAATCCTTCAAAACAAGATTAGCCATGTTCAACACCAACATTGCTCCAGCGGACCCCTTCCAGACGGAGGACCCCTTCAACGGTCCTTTTGACAAATGAGAGTCGACGAAAGTGTCACCTCCTTTTGCATACTCAAAAGCTGTCTGTGTCCTTCCAGATCCTTTCAGGGGAAGCGATCCGTTCAAAGGGAGCTCGGCTGGTGATCTATTTAGCGGGGCGGGTGGCTCGGATCCGTTTGCATCCTCAGATACCTTTGGAGAAAAACCCAAGCCGCCAGTCAAGGGGATGCTGCGTGCATCACACAGAAACATTGTAGTGATTGTACAACTGCCTCATTAAGACATTTTTATAATTGTATCCAGTTCCCAATGACAGACTTTGGTTTTAATCTACTCCAAAGATTTTGAATTACAGCACTCTTCACTCTTGACGAGCAGCGATTAATCTCTATTATCAAATGGAGCGATAATTATTCATGTTGAGCTCAGCTTTCTGTAGTCCTCCATGAAAGCAGACTTATTATCTTTTGGTTTTTGAATAGAAGGATGGACACTTTTTTCGGACATGGGGTTGGATGGACATGGGGGTTGTGAAAGCAGTACGTACAGTTCAGATGTTCCATCGAATCAGATCCAGATTTCTTTTTTTTTTTCTCTGTGGTGTGCACTGTGTCGGGAGACTGAATGAATTTGTTTTTGCTGTATTGAACGGAGGAAAAAAGCCTGTTGTTCATTCCAGAAGTTACCATCCTCTGTTGTCAAATCAAAATCCAGCACTGAATTCAGTTCTATCCGACTGAAGTTAATAGTAAAGCCGAGTAGCCCACGAACGCTGAAAATGTGTAAAAATGCGCTTAAAAGTGTGAACGTATGCGTCATATATGTTGCAATAGCCCCTTTTACATTACACAATGCCTTTTTTTTTTTTTCTCGTGCCCTGTCAAAGAGACGACTGGAAATGCAGGAACAATACTACTTGGTGAATGCGGCGTGTTTTTCTTTTTTGTTTTTGTTTTTTACTTGCATACAAATAACTCACTAATGTCTCCAAATGTAACACCTCTTATTCATGTGAGGGCTCATTGTGCAACACTCCTCTTGGGTGACATGTCAGAATTGCATTTTTACTCACCGCGTATTCCCTATTCCTGCGGTTTGAGGCTATTTTTAGAAGAGGGCTTACTCATTTAACTACGGGCAACCTAAAAATACTTCACTCACCCACCTACCCTGGAAAAACAGGAGGTCGACAGAAGCCTGACACAACAGAAAGTCTGTGACTGTACCAGGACACACTGTCAGTTCTTGAAGTGCCCCCCCCAGCCCCCCAGCCCCCCCTCCTACCTGAACGCTTGCTGCCCTTCACTTTCGTTATTCAGCGCGGAAGTTGTTTTAAGTCAGCGGCATTGGTGAAAGGTAAAAGGCGACGCTATGTTGCTGACCGGCGCGTTGCCCGTCATCACACGAACATAGAAGCAACTGTGGACCTGCGTCGGCTTACTGTGCCAAAAAGAAAACACACGACTGGGCTCCACATGAATGGGTCCTCTTGTGGTTTGCGCACTCACAACAAACATATTCATTTACAATGCTTTGTTTTTTCACTGTAACCATCTGTACGTTTTTTGAGGGGTTTTTTTTTTCCCTCCCTCTCTTTTTCATTAAGCGGCATACCACAAAGCTTCAAAACAAGCCCGGCACAGTTCTGGTTTGACAGTGCTCCAACTGACGCCTTTAATTAGCTAATCAGTTGCATACGTCAGGTTAAACAGAACCCCCCCCCTACTTTTTCGGATTTGGGCAAATGTCATGGAACGTTTAGCAGCCGTGCGGCCCTAAAAATAGCACGCGAGTCCTCGGCGGAATAAAGTGTCATTTTAAAGCATGTGGTCTGTAAGTCGATTTTTCATTTTGACTTTTGAAAATTTTCCACAAGTGTCTCACTCTGCTCCTTTTGCAGAGTCGGTCCGCCTGCCGAACCACCTCTTTTCAGGGAACCCTTTGAGGAGCAAGGTGAGCTTCAAGTACATTGGATGGTTTCATGAACACAACACAACACTGTGCTTACGTTTGCTGGCTAAAGGCTCGTTTCTCCGGTTTCACGCATAAAGACAATCCAGCTTTTTTTTTTTTTTTTTTTGGCCCGATTTTGCCCCATCCTGACCAAGGATGACAAACACTCCACTATCTTATGTCTTGAAAGATTGCCCTACAAGATCATCCTTACGTGTGAGTTGCGTTAAGAATTGATTTGTCCTGAAAACGGGCTCCAAAAGAGACAATTAAATGTTCACCATTTGTGACCCAAAATCTTGTGTGTGGGGAAAGCCAACGTCTCACCGAGTCAGTGAACTTTGACATGAACAAAACAAAAAAAAAGGTGAGCCATGACGGTCGTGACCGAGCCCTAAGGCAGTCATTTTCAGTCAAATGGCAATATGCCAATATACCGGAACTATTTCTAATATCCTGAGGCATCGCTCTCCTTTGCTTTTTCTGGTCCATGTTTAGTACGGTACACACCATGTCGTCAAAAAGCACAGTGACAACTTTTTTGCAGACACCTTTGACTCTCAAGTAGAAGACACGCATAACATGTTTCTATGGTCGAATTAGTTTCAGTCCTTTTTAAGGGCCAGACCTATTTTATGAGTTTTTTTGTTTTTCAAAGAATTCTGTTGAACCACAATTCAAAAACGCAACGTCCGATTTCCATTGCCAATTTTCAGAGTTTATTACTACTTTTGGGTGGTTGAAGATATTCATTCAAGATATTTGAAACTGAATTAACAGATGGCTAGCAACAATTTTGTACCAGTGTCTACCTGTATGTGACATGGCGTTGTATGAATGTGGGGGGAAAAAAGGCAGCCGTCTGTTGGAGTGCAGACATTTATTTAACATCCAGTGACTAATGGAGAGATTGCGTGTGCTTTAGGAAATATGTTGATGGGTACAATAATTACACTTTGAAACTTTCTGAATACTCTGATCTGGAATGCCTCTCTCATCACACGGCTTTATTTCTCTTCAGCCTCAACCACGTGTATGAACACCGTCTGTTCGTTTGATGCCAGAGGGCTGCCTGTTGAGTAATGGTTGCTGATTTATTTTTTATTATTATTTTTTTTTTTAAATCAATGTCCTTGTGTGTTAACAGAAGTCTGACAATCCTGTTCTGCCATCAAAGAAAAGCACACCGAACCGGCCTGCCCCGCCCTACGGTAAGGTTTGTGTGTGTGTCTGAGCAGGATCGACTAGCACGCAAGCAGTGGTTCATTCCAAAATGTTTTGAGCTATCGCACACCTGGCCCGAGGGTTCCATTGTGACGGTTCCTTTAGTACACCGCGCCAACTCGGTGCCAGGACGGCATGGCCTCAAAAAAAAAAAAAAAAAGTGCCATTTCCCTAATTGTGGTTCGATGTACAATGAAAGTAGTTTCTTATTTTGAAGTTGTCAAGAGGAAACTTGCACATCAGTGAGTGACAGGACTCTCTCGTTCAATGGGTGCATAGTTTGGAGGGGGAAAAGTGCGCGTGCGCGTGTGTGTCAGTAGTCATGCGAAACCCACAAGCTGTGCCCAATGCCTGCCCTTCCGCTGTGACCTTGCACTTGTGCTTTTAAGCAGAAGTGGCAGCGTGGGAAAGGTGCCGTTCCCGTTTGCTTGACCACGCAGCGTAGCAGAGGTGTGCGTGGCCTCATGGTGCGATGGGGAAGTGAGAGCCCCAAACCCGTGGGCTTCGAAAAATACACTCGCTCACTAAGAATAAATACAGGGCAACCTCCAAAGTCAAACGCAATTGCTTCAAACCCCCAGATAATGTGAAGTGAATCAATACGGTTGCAAGCTCAAACTTCTGAAGGCATTTTTCTAAATAACATTAACTTGAATTTTTGGTTTTTAATAGATGTTGCTGTTGTCACGTGGATGGATCATAAAGTTAGAAATCAAGGTAGCGATTGGATAGGGAGGAACATGGATATATTTTCATTTCATATAAAAACGGGAATGGATGGATGCTTTTAGAGTGTCTATATTAGCCCTTTTGTTTTGTTTTGTTTTTTTAGATTTAGCTATTAGATTCACTTTTCATTTGAACCCTCGCTGACTCGTGTTTTTTGTGTGGGCGCGTGCTGTCAGCTCGCCGCACTTTGCTTCCTGTCAGAATTGTGTAACACGCAGTATTGCACATCTGGATTGAAAGTGCCGCCTCAGAGCGGCGTGTCAGCTGTCCTCTCTTTTACTCCGGCAGACTCGGGTAGAGCTCCCACAGATGTTCATTCCTCTGTAAGTCTGTGCTGTTTATTTGCATGAGTCCAAGGACTTGCTTTGCCATTGTGTGAAAAGGAGGCCGCCCGGTGTCACTAACCATCTCCAGCGTTGTGGGCAACTATGCCACGGCTCATTTATTGGCTGTGTTTTGTCATGGAGGAGAATCGCCGCTTGCATGACTGACATGGCGACCATGAAGCTCCCGTCTAGTCCGGTCTTAAGTCCAGCAAAGCAATGTTTTTGTTATGTTTCAGGAGTTTACTTCACTGACAGAGGAAACGTCAATCAAGATGCTCTGCAGCACTGATGTTCACGTTAGGGTGACGCAGTTACGCGCTGCCTCCAGGCAATCGCTAGCCAGAGGCTGAGCTGCGCTGTGTTTGTTTACGCTGCAGCGTGTCGCTAAATCATGAGGCAGATCCGTTTCTTGTCTCTTCCCTAATATTCTGAATGTGTGTACATATGAGAAAAATGTCTAGAATAGCCTATTTTAATCGATACAACTCCGTAAGTATACCCCAAACTATGATTACAAAAACATTTCTAACCCTTTTTTGTATTACCCTCAAAAATATAAATGGCTTACAGATGATATGGTTTTGGGGGAAAAAATAACAAGTAAAAGCATGCTGGTATTTATTGCGCCTTTGCAATAGGTATAAAAATACGACTGTCAGACATGATTGAAAATTCATGTTCGAGGCAGACTTAACCAAAAAAAAACGCCATTGTATGAACGTTTTTCCCCAGCGAAATACATTGATGAACGTGGGGCTTTTGGTACTGAGCGAATTTGAGGTGCCCTACAAAGGCCCCCGCCGCAAAGGCAGCATCCTCCACTGAAAAATATCAGTTGAGATTTTCCCATCAATCATGGAGCCCATCTCCCCACTAAAAGATTTGATACGCATCTCGATACATGCAGTGCATTATGATGCATGGCGACCTTGTCTTTGTCCTCTTCACCAACAATTCCCCTCTTTGTGTCAGCATGAAGAGTTGTCAAAGGCCTTCTGTTTTGTTTTTAATGTTCCGGAAAGGATGTGAAGATGACCAGGTAAGGTCGGGTCAGACGGTCTGCCTCCAAGCTTTTGCATGTGCCATGATTTTGAACACGACCCGTTCAGAACAAACGTTCGCATGTGCACGGGGGCAACATCTGGTGTCATTTATTTTTTTATTTTTTTATCTGCTGTCTTCCCTCGCTTTTTGCTGTATCATCAATCTAAACGTCCTCTTCTTCTGTTACATCACGACGGTCGTGTTTTGGATGCCATTTTTCTGCCAAATTTGCATCTCGTGTTCAGTCCCCGTCCCCGGGTCGGGCTTTGCCTTTTTTAGCTCCGTTTCAACGGCTAACCTCTCGGTTGTTTGGCTCCTGCAGTTTGGAAGTGAAAGCCAGCAACTGGAGTGGGCCAAGCGGGAGAGCGAGCGCGAGGAGCACGACCGGCTGCGGAGACTGCGGCTCCAGGAGCAGCAGGACCTGGAGTTGGCCATCGCGCTCAGCCGGGCCGACGCTCCCGGCTCCTGAGGGGGCCCACCAACAAGCCCCCCTCCCTGCCTAAAAGCCACCTTCCTGCAGACATTTGAACTGTCACCACACTCCAAAAAGCCCCCCCCCCCC